GGTCTGCGTGCTCAACAAGATTCAGGAGGAATGGTAATTATCATTTTGGAGGTTGAGTTGTAAAAGACACTGTTGTTTTTGTCTTGTTGTGCATGCTCTCTCTCTCCAATCATGTGCTCTGGGGAGTACCAGCTGCCATGTCAGGGAGCAGCTCTGTGGAGAGGCGCACGCAGAAAGGGACACACGTCTCCTGTCAGCAGTCACTCTGAGCAAGCGTGGCAGTGTATCCTCCAGATCAGTCAGGCCTCAAGCAGACAGAAGCGGTTATGTTGCAGGAAGGTAGGGGCAGGAGCCTAGATTGTGGGTGTGTGCAGATGCACACACATGTGTTGAGCGGGCTGTCAAAGACATCTTCTAACTTTGTCTATAAAGTTGTATTTTTTGACCAGGAGAATGCATCGTGTGTTCTGTGTATATTAAAAAATCAAAAACAAAATAATGGAAAGAAAATGATCAACTCTTTAAGAGCAGGTAACTATAACTTAGGATGTGGCCATTTGACACCTAAATAAACATAAAAAAAGATCAGTTCACTAAAATATCAGGCAATTATATTTAGTAAAATCATTGCCTTCAAGATAAATAATATAGTCACACCCTTAAGTAGGAGTAATGCCTTGGGATTCATTCAGTTATTAAATGCATTTATGGAGCATGTACTGTTTGCTACGGATATTGTGATAAACGAGACAGGTAAGTTCCACTCATGTGGAGTTTACATTCTAATGCAAGGGAGACAGAAAATAAGCAAATAAAAATATTCAGAAAAGTGTCATATAGTGATAAATGCTATTAGGAAAATTAAAATAAAATGATGCAATTCAATTAAATTGAAATAAAGTGACTTTCGCCTTTGGGCTTTGTGGCCAGAGAAAGTCTCTCATGAAGCTGAAATGTTAAGAAGGAGTTGACCATGTGACAGTCAAGATTTAAAGCCTTCCAAATACAGGTAATAGCACATCTGAAGGCCCTCTGGGTAAGACAGTGTGGCACATTGAAGGGGCGGCAGGGAGGCCAGTGGAGCTGGTATATCATGGGTGAGGGGTGAGCAGCAGGAGATGCGTTTCCAGGAGCAGGTTTTTTAAGCCTGGGCAAGGATTTGTATGTCCTGCATTTTAATGAAGCAGGTGAAACATATCAGGAAACTCACTGTACAAACCTGTCCAAGGCTTATTCTTTACATATTCTTAATGGTTGCAAATCTTAGTCCTTTGAGGGTGGATTCGATTTCAGGAACCCTCTCTAAATCATGTCTGGTGAATGTGGAGGGTGATGACGCTGGGCAGTGCTGTTTTGGAACAAAAATCAGGTGTGACTCCAAGCAGCGAGTCAGATTTTCTCATAAACTGGCTCCGAGGACAAATCCAAAAGTGTTTAGAGCAATGGCAGCACTGTTGGAGCAAGTGTGGGGTCTCCCATGAGGACCATGTTAAAGGAGAGCATTCGTGTGCACTGTAGACTTGCTGGTGTGTTTGTTTACATAAAGCTGGCCTCATTAGTTTATAGTCACACCTCTTAGACGTGCCCTGAACCAGTCCCAGCACCAGCAGCAGCCCCCGACTACCGCAGAAACGAGGGGTGCATCCTGACAAGTCTGCCAAAGCTGTAACACGGTGTCTGTGCCATGCTCAGGTGACGTTCATTCGCAGTTGCATTTTATGAAGTAACTGAACATAACGCATTCTGGGCAACATTTCCTAGTCCCACAGGCAGTGTCCCAGAGAGCGAGAGAGAGGGGTGCGCCCGGAAATGCAGAGAGACAGGAGAGGGTCTGGGGAGAAGGGAGAACGCTGCCCCAGGAGAGGGTGGGGAGACAAAGTGAGGAGCGTTCGACCATCCTTACCTTCACGGTACTAAGCAGTGTAAAGGTAAAGCCCATCAGGCTACACCTACAACCACATTCTACAACAGAACCTGGAAAACAATAACAAAAGGTACCCCAACGTATAAATAAATTGCTGGAAGACTTAGAGGTTTTTTCCCATATATTGTATGGACCCTGTATTCAAAATATGTTTGTGTGTAGGAGCTAAAATTTGATATCTGCAATTTCCAGCAGCATAAGACAGGGCTTAAAATTACAACTGAAAATTTCTGAGTCTACTGTGTGCCAAGTCCTGGGATCAAAAGGTGAGACAAAATCCATGTGAGTGATAGGATTTGCACACAGTAGGTATCCAGAAAGAATGGGTTTCTTTACAATTACTGTTTACAGAGCCTAAATGGTGCCAAATAAGAGCAGCCTCAGAAAGGCAAAGACCTCATTGATGATTCAGCAAATTCCTCTGGAGACTGTTGAAGTGTGATTTGAGGGTGGGAACAGGGTTTGAGTTAGTCAGAATAAGGGAGGGGTTATGACTGCGGACTTTCCCACATGCAGACAAGTCTTTCTCAGATAGCAGCTGTTCAGTTGAGCGTGAGTCATGGCGACTGGATACTGAATGGATGGAGCAAGCAAAGGCACAGCCCCAGGGGTCCCAAGGTGCCTCTGTACTTCAGCTCTCCTACTGCAGCAGGCCTTTCAGAGTCTGTGCCTGTTTCCTGAGCACAGTGCTCCTGTCCGAGAGGAAGTACCTGGGATTCTATTTTAATAGTGACTGATACTTTCTTCTAGAAGGAATGAGCATTACTTTGTGCTGTTTGCCTAAAGGTGGGAGGAACAGAAAAAGTCGCTGAATAAAGACAGTAGGTTTATCTAGTGGGCAGGTTGGGGTTCTGAATATATTTCACCTTGGAGCAATGCACAAGTTTGGGTGTCCACTTGTGGGACTTTCCTATGATAAGGAAATGCACATGCTTGAGCTTTAAGCCCTCTTTATAAAAACACCTGTATATAGTTCTGTGATTGAGCTAAAGACTGAAGATAGGCCAGACCAATGGCTTGGGAGGTAAGTCCCTAAACTCATCTGTGTCTTTGGGATTCCTGTTATGAAATGGGGAGAATTACAGAGCACTTTCTTCTGAGTTGTGCTGGATTCTTGGCTGCTGTAGTGGAAAGCGCATTGGGCTAGTTTTCAGGAGGGAACACCCAGGGGAAGGGAAGACAGAAAATGAAGCCTGTTGGAAACCCTGCACTGTGCTTTGAGATGCTTGACAGTTCTTAGAAAAGGAGCAAGTGGAGAATCAGGGAAGGAAGGAATTGAGCCTCTATGGTGTGAAAGTAAGTGTCTTAGTGCTTTTCCACAAACACCAAAGATCTGGGTTCGAACCATGCATGCCTCCACCACTTACTTGCTTTGCAGAATTATTTAACTAACTCCCAACTCTCAAGCCAGCAAAGGCTTTTAAAATATTTATTTATTTTTAGAGAGAGAGAGGAAGGGAGGGAGAAAGGGAGAGAAACATCAGTGTGTGGTTGCTTCTCGTGTGGCCCCCACTGGGGGACTTGGTCTGCAACCCAGGCATGTGCCCTCACTGAGAATTGAACCAGTGATTCTTTGGTTCACAGCCCACGCTCAATCCACTGAGCTATACCAGCCAGGGCCAGCAAAGGCTTTTTTGAAATGTGTAAAACACTCTAGGAGCTTAAGACCTCATTGTTAATTTTGTTCTCTTATACCCTTTCTCAGCAGCTTTGGGGAAGCAATTTGTAGCAGGTATTTACTTATTTGGTTCTGAACAGCAACTGGTTTTTCTCATGAGCTAGCTCATACTTGTGCACAGGAGCAATTCTCTTTCTTTTGTACTTGATATAAAAAGTGACTTAAAACTCCCTGAAGACAGATTGTGTTCAGTTGCCCCACCCATCTCCAACAGGAGTGGCACCTTAGTGCACAGAACAGAATAAAGAAATACAGCATAGGATGTTAGCAAACAGCACACAGGGAAAGATGTAGGGCCCGTATCTCTCTGCATTTGGCCACAGCCCTCCTTATCGGTTATTTGACAAGGCAGTAAATTGCACAGAAGGATCTCAGGCATGGGTGTCCCACAGACTTGGGCTTGTGTTTTTAACATCCCTATTTGTTTTTGACAGATATGTGACCTTTGGTTAGCTATTTAGCCTCTTAAGATAAAAAATTTCCCTTAGAGTGGAATTTTTTTTTAATTAATAAAATTCCCCTCTTTGTGAGTGCCTACCTCAGAATGTGGCTGTGAGGATAAAAGGCTGTATTTTAAGTTAATAACATTCCCCTCTACCTACCCTGAAGAGCCAGTGTGAAAACTGGAGATAATGTATATGGAGACTGTACTCAGTCAAGGTCCCTTTGCCATTTTTACATGTGTGGGGGTCGGTACAGCACACTGTGTCTTTGAGTTGTGGGGTGGCCAAGGTGATTTAGGTGTCCTCTTTCCCAGAGGCTAAATCCAGGTTTATCTCTCACTGTTGTTTACAACTTTGTGATGATGATTATGGTTATCATTCTCGAGGGAATGAGAAAAACCAGGGATCTTTGAACAAATTTGCTTTTGGTTTTAGACATTTTGTAGTTGGGTTCTTTTATAGAGATTTAACTATGCACAAAGGGGCTTGGGGAGAATGGGAGTCTTACTGGTTTCACAAAACCGGAGAATTCTTTGTAGCGTCTCAGGTAAGTAGGACTAATGTTTCATCCAGCCCCGTGCAGGCAACATCTGGATGAATGGCCTCCTTGTTCCCACAGAACGGGGCTCAGTCTGCATTCTCTCTGCTCAGACCTCTGCTTCTCTCCCACCACTCTCTCACTGGGTCTTCGGGACAGGCGTTATTGCAGTAGAGATGGGAAGGTAGCAAATAAGTTTTTTCTTCCAGCCTTATTTGCCCTTCCCTGCAAATCCTCCAGTCCACCAAAAGGAAGCAGCACTTTGATGATGAAGCTCTCATTGAAGAGCCCCGATCCTACTAAACTCAAACCCTTAACTCTCTTTGACATGGATGTGGTGAGCTTAGCATTTTTCAAATAATGAGTTTTCTGATACAAGGATCTGCCTCTGTACCTAGTCTTTGGGTGGCAGGGGTTGATGAAATTTAGAACCAGAGATGTGACCTCTAATTATATATTTGCTTGCTTCTCTTTCAGCCTTCTGGGTCTCACCACTTGGAAGTAAGTGAATCAGTATTAGTGAAACTAACAGTTTGGTGAGTTTACTTTTTTCTTTTAGGAAACATAAAAACTGTGGCTCAGAGCCATTGTGGTCATTGGGTCAGAGAGTTTGCACCGAGGGGAATGTGAGTGCCTACCTCAGAATGTGGCTGTGAGGATTAAAGGCGTGAATACATGCAAAGTGCTCAGAATAGTGCCTGGCACAGGCTGAGGGCTGTATGATTCTGTCCCGTCCGCTCCTAGGCAGGGTCTGCCATTGACCCCACAGCAGTTCCCTTTGGCCAGTAATCTCAGCTTGACTTCAAAACATATCCAGAAAGAAGCCATTCACAAAGCCCACATATTATATGGTTCCATTTATGTAGAATGTCCAGAATAGGCAAATCTCTGGGAACTGAAAGTAGATTAGTGGTTGCCCAGGGCAGGGAGCAGTGGGAGGTTAGGGTTTGGGTTTTTGGGGGAGGCGATGACAGTGGTCTAAAGTTGATTGTGATGACAGTGTCACAATTCTGTACCTATGCTAAAAACTGTTGAATTTTCCACATTAAGTGGGTGAATTGTACAGCATGTGTGTTATAGCTCAATCACGCTGTTAAGAAATACATCCAGAATTCCACCCCCACCTACCATCAGTGTCATTAGCATTCAGGTCCAAGCCACTGCTCGTGTCTCATGGATCACTAAAACAGACTCCTCACTGCCCCCCCAGTCTCACCACTGTCTGCTCTCCAGAGCACTGCTGTGACCTTCGGAGTTGTGAAGCAGAGCATGCCACTCACCTGCTTCAGCAACTCCCCTGCATCCCCATCACACTGCAGCCCAAGGGGAATGTCTGCCCCTGGCCTGAAAGAGCTGCTTCCTCAGCCATCAGTCTCTCCTTTGTTTGTTTTGCTTTAGCCACACCAGCCTTCTCGTTCTTCAGATATGACGATCTCATTCCCACCACCTCTGTACACCGTTCTGCTTGATGTCCACTCTGCCTAGAATTTGACCCCACACTTCATGGCTCATTCTCTGGTATTGTACAGGACTAGGCTCAAATGTCGCCCCATCAGAGAGGCACTCCACTCCATCCACAGAGTTCCCACTCCATCAACCTCTAGCCACTCATTCATTTTGTTTTCTTCATGGTATTTATCACTATTTCAATTTATATTCTGATTTATCTACTAATTGGAAGTCCCCTCCACTAGTTATGTAATTTCTATGAAAATAGGGATTTTCTCTTGCTCACTACTGCATTCTTAGTACCTAGAATGGTGCCCTGTCTTCAGTGTTTGTTGAATGAATGAATAAAGCCACCATATTGATTATGGACAGGAAGACAATCAATCACACACATACTTAATTTTTTCTGTGTGTACTTCCTGTTTAGGGTATTTCACAGTTAGTTGTATTCTTAGGAGTATATTCCTTCAAGGTTCCTTTTCAACACCATTCAGTGTAGTCTATTTAGAATGTAACTCCATGCTTAGACTGATAAACACTGTCACTGGTTGCATGGAAGTCCATTAAAACATGTAAAAGATTTCAGAATCTATGCTCAGTCAGTCATGTTCCTAAGCTCAGCATGGCTGTTTCAGTGACAGAAAGCTGAGGTCTGACCCTACTCTGTTGTCCTCAGGTTTACTCACAGTGTGGACTCTCTCTGGCCCCTGTCCTCAGGAGGATCTTAGCAATGGGCACGTTGTTGGTCATGATGGCGATATCCAGAGGCGTCAAGCCCTCACTGTTGGGCGTGTTGAGATCCAGCTCCTCTGCTGTGTACTGATACAGAAGGATCTGCACAGCATCCATGTCCTGCTGTTCCACTGCTTCAAACATGGCTTCGTTGCCCTGGAAGTTCTGGAGAAGAAAAGCAGGTTAGCACAATGTCATAGACTAGCATATCTTTGCAGCTTGGCTGTTTGAACTTTACAGACTACTTCCATGACTGCATTCCTGCTTACAAGTGATACAACTTTAATTTTATCCCAAGGTCTCCAAAGTAAACACTGTGTTGGACCCTCCCTGCATTGTTTCTAACGGACACTGAGCAGATGTGTACATGTAGATGCACTGAGACGATAGAGCAGAGCACGGTTGGTCTATAGATGAGAGCAGACATCGGCTTTCTCAAGCCAGTGTCCCGTGCAATACTGTGTGATAGGTCTTGGAAAGGTGTTCTGTGAAGAAAGTAGCATGTGGCCAAATAAGTTTGCTAAACACTCGATTAAGGCAAATTACTGCATTATTTTACTCTAAGACCTCCCAGGGCCTTTCATAATTTTTCACATGTGATTGTGACTCTCCGGTAGGTGGGAAATGGGACCTGTTTCAAGCATTTGGTCATAGGATAAATTATTAATTGTGTTTGTTTGAACTGCCGCTGGAATCACCTTCTACAGAATACCGTAGGGGAAATGCTGGCAGAGAGACCGTAGCCCAGGTCGTTTAAATTCTGGCTAGCTTGGAACTGAGAGTGCTCTTTCTCTGTCTCACACTCATCCCCTCTCTCCCGACCCCTGTGTCTCTGCTGTTGCTGAGACCGTTAGCATCCCTTGCCTGGGCCACGGCAGTGAGCTGTCTGTTGCTAGTCTTAGTCCCCTCCAGTCCGTGCTGCACACTAAATCAAGAGTAATCTTTCTAAAATCTACATTACATGCCCTTTCCTTATTTATAAATCTCTTTTAAGAGCTCCACACTGCCTGCAGGCTGACTCCGTACCTCATGCACTCCTTTGTGCTAACCTCTACCCTCTCTCAACCCAGAGCCCCAACCACAAAACACCTGGCATTTCTGAGCCCTCAGGGAGGGTTTCCATGGCTGGGTGGCAGATTGTTTGTGGCCATAGAGGACCAAAATTTAATATTCACAATGACAACACCTATAAAGACAATGCGATTTCTGTGAAAAGTTCTTTCAGAGGATTAACAGCAAACAAAGGAGAAAAGCTGTGGAATTCTCTCAAACATATTTCTGTAGCTCATGGAAGAAAAACAACACATATACTTTTTTACATATCTATCTGGTATCTTCTCCTAGAGTTGCTTGGTCTTTAAAATGTTGAAATACCATCGGTCCTGACCTAGCACAGGAGTCACCTAATTAAAATATATAAGGTTTTCAATGACCAAATATTGAGATCGGCAGGTTTTATTTTTAGTTACATCAAAAATCCATTCTTTCTATCAAAGCGTGCATGCAAGTCGGCTTAGCTGAGCACATACCACATGATTGAAATTAGAAGAAAATACAAAGCTATTATGCAAATGCTTGTTTTGACAACAGTCACCCAGGGAATAGAATAATTTTGGTATGCCGCTCGCTTTTAGGATGATCTGCTGAATGGAAAAGTGTTTGGTTGACCAACTGCCAAACTGGGGAGCCTCTGATGCTTTGGCTGTAACTCAGCTGTAGCCAAGGCCTTCCAGAAGATGAGTTTTGAGATGAGAAAACGGATGAGTGCAAAGTCAAAATGCTGCCCTGTCTACAGTTGTGTATTTGTGATTCTCAGTATGTCTAATTTCTCGTGTGCCATATTTGCTCTCACTCTTAAGTCATTTCCTCCTCCATGTTTTTGTTGGCAAAGTCCAGTATGCTTCTATCTGGAAAGGCTAGGGCTCATGTCTGTTTTTTAGGCTCAAACAAATGGTGCCATTACCCTCTGCAGAAGTACCCTTGCTGAGCATGTTGCTATTATGCCCCCAGCTTTTACCAGGGGCCAGTATAAGAAAGTGCTACTGAGAATGTGTGTAACATCACCAATATTAATTTTCATTCTCCATTACATAATTCATTATCATAGCTTGTAAAGGCTAGAGGACTTAGCCACAGAAAAATATTAATGTCTCCTTATAGACCAACATACTTCAAACTGTCCGCTAATGGGATTCTATAGTCAATTGTTCCCCTTTTTGTTTTGACTATAGAGGAACTCAGATAAATGTAATGATAAATTCTAGGTACTGTATTTGCCTAGGTTTTTGGTATATTCATTTCTGTTTCCATTCCCACTATTTTCTTTTCTTAGTTTTTTTTCTTTTCTCCTTCCTTCTTTTCTTCCAACCCTCTCTCCCTCCCTCTCTCATTTCTTTTTTTGGTACTCACTGTCTCCCTCTATGTCTGTCTCTTTATCTCCCATTATATAATACATGCGTATTTTTTTACTTGGATTCTGTCTTGAATGCCTTTGGAATGCATATGGAGTATACATTATAAGTAAAAAAATTGTTTATTGATCATTCAATACTTGAATGAACAATGAAGCTCTCAGGGGCCTACTTTATCTCATACTTCATATTTGCTATTTTTGTTTCTTTGGTCTATTTAAAGAACGAAAAATTAAGGTAAAAGAAAGGGAAAGAAACTGAGAAAGGGAATGAGGAACTCTCCCAATCACTCCGAGTTCAGCTAACCCCAGAGGTATGTGCAGTTCCTGTCTTCTCTGACTTCCAGCATTTATAAAATTACAAATGTCAGGTTCTGAAGTAAACATGGAACATCTTAGAATCTTCTTAAATCCAAACACAACTGCACAAATCAAACCAAGATTCTTCTTAAATCCAAACACAACTGCACAAATCAAACCAAGATAAGAATGAAGAGGTTTCTTTTTTTTTTTTTTTTTACCACCGAGGTCTTTCTGAGACTCATCCGGTCAGTTCTTGTTCTGAAATAGGCCTCATCAAACGAAGAATGGCCCCCCTTCAGTTTCTCAGAGAGGTTCCTGTACAGGCGTTTGGCAGCATTAGGAGATGAGGGGGCACTGTGCTTTTTTGACTGAGAAAGATGTAGGTTCTGCATTTGTTGGGTCATTTTCACACGACAGTTCCTAAGAGGAGGAAAGTAGGATATTGTATCATTTACACAGCATAATTCTAAATTGACACAGAATTTGATCATCTCCAGTAACCATCTGGAATCCTAATAAAATATTCTGGCTGAAAGGGACCTTAGAAGTCATCAGATCTAGCCTTTTCATGTTATAGATGAGAAAGCTGAAACTCAGGGATAGAAAGCAGCTTGTTTATGGCCACATAGCTAATTAGAGGCAGAAATGAAATGACCACCTCCACGTACTATATAAACGTCTACATGCAAACATGCGTCTGACATGGGCCTCTGAGGACGGAAAGTCTTTTTGTCTCTCTCTCACTTGGAGGAAGCATTTCAATTCTATAACCAAGGGAGTCTGTCCAGTTTCTCTTGGATATTTGTAATTGCTGTCTTACTACTTACCTCCTTGTAGGTGCTGCTCTCTTGGGTGCATAAGAGAATGTGGTTATTTCCCGCAGATCCCCCTTCTATCTAGGTGTTAAATTGTGCCTCACGATTTTTTGAGATTTGGTGAACCACCTCAGTTCCCAGAGGTTTCAGGGTTTAGACCCATAGGCCCCACTCTGCTGCCCCCAGATGCTCCAGGTAGTGTCCTCCGGGCACTCAGTACTGGCATTCTCTCGGCAGGACTTGACTGCTGGTTCACACTTCTCTAAACAGGTCCCAGAGTCATACCTGATGTCAGTGTCCAGTGAGCCATGCCATTTCAAGAGCCATTAACCATTCTGTTGGATGTGACTACTGAAATACCAATGCTGCCAGGGCCACGGCTTCTGGCATGCATATGCATGTTGGATGAACAGGTGCAAGAATGGAATAGCTGGCCAACACAGTTGTGTATAAGGTATCTCCACCCCTGGTGTAGTCCCTGGGCACTGGGGCCAGGTCTCTCTAGCATGCTGCTGCCATCCTACCACCTCCCCTCAGATCTCCAGGGGAGTATTCCCATTTGTAATGCTGCCATCACTACTTAGCCGTGACCCTGAGGTCATCTCCAGCCCTTGAATTTGTATAGCCTTGTGGACCTCATGATATAATAGCATGGAGAATTCTTTTATTGACCAAACTCTTCACAGGACTGACTTTAATGACTCCCCGATTCCTAGGGCATAAAATCTGAATTCTTTAGTCTCACATACAGTGCTTACCTCCCCAGCCTCATCTCCTACTGTATGGCTGTCTTTTTTGTTTCAGTCTTTCTGACCTCCTTAGGGTTTCCTAAATAGTTCAGACTTTTTCTTGCTTCTGGGTCTTTGTAGGCGCTGCTTTGTATGTATTAGAAATCCATGTGTGTCCTCATCACCTGAGAAACCACTGCTGACCCGTAAAGTCTATGCTCGAGTGGTGTCTGACATCCCCAGGCAAAATGTGATTCTTTTAGTGCATGCATGCTTCTCATAATACATATTTTATTGTACTGCAACTGTTTTTTGGCTTTCTGTCTCCCAGCTAGTCTATATGTACCTCGAAAACAAGGACCGCCAAATACTAATTTTTACAGCCCCAGCACCTAAAATGTGCCTTCTTTAGGGTAAGAGATATATACGACACAGACTAGAGTATGAATTGCTACTCTTCCACTTACTTTGTGATCTTGGGCAAGTTACATAACATTTTGAATCTCATTTTTCTCATTATAAAGTAGAAATAATCACATCTACATATTACAGTTTCGAGGATTTGATGAGATAATGTAAAGAGCTTAAAAGTATAGGATTGCTCATGGCAGCTGTCATTTTTCTTATGGAAGATACTCATACCTTGGAATAAATTAATGCACATATGAGACTCTGTCACATATAGTATATGAAAGGGCTACCCAGAAAGCTGATTTTCTCCTCATGTCTCTGAATTGGGTCCTATGTGTACTAATGCCAACTAACCTTGGTTAACTTATACTTTCACACATGGAGAGCTATCTTCATTACATTGTTGAATGTCTTTAGGCACGTTTTAAGCCTTGCTTGCAATTTCCTCCAACACGAAAAGACTTTCTCATGCCTTCTAAGGTGGTCAGATGTATTCAGAATTAGCCATGTCCTTTAAGCCCTACCCAGTCTTACCTAAATGTTCATATTTAAGTTGGGAAGATGATGTAAAGGACTGTCTGTAGTGTGCAGGAAGGTGTAGAGGTGCTTTCAGGAATCTTTAATAATCTACACAAGAGCAGAAATGGAAAGAGTAGGCATTTGACCTATTTTTCTTTCCTTTTACAAATCCTTTACTTCTGATTTAATAGCAACTGCAGTGATTCCTCTATATCTTTTTAGTCCCACAAAAATTCCAGATTGATATGCAAGCTGGCTGACATGGGGGTCGCCTTAAACTTTTTTTCCCCTTCTGTCTGCAGCCTTTTCCTTCAGAAGCAGTGCCCCAGTTAGTGCCATCTGTCTTGTCTGCATCATTATCATTCCCAAAATAACTACATTCTTTCGTATCTGCCCCAGTGCCCAGGAGTCCAGTGAATAAATTCCTGTCCATTGATCAGGTTCTAGTTACTTGCCCTACAACTGAAGACTCCTACCACTGGCTCCTTTTGTCTTTGCTCCTGTCCCATCTGTTCTCTTCAGTCAGACACATCGACTTTCTCTGTCCCTTTGACTTCCTTAGCATACTTCCCAGCTGTCCATTCCTTCCAGGCTATCCTTCAGCATAGCTATTCTTCCAGGTTTCATCTGTTACTATATTTTCTTTCCTTCCTCTATATTTATAATTTTGTCTGATTAGAAATACTAAGAAAGACTGCTTTCTATTGTCTGTTCTCATAAACATGCATGCCTCTTCCAACTAACTGTATTCTTAAATATTTACCCTTGTGGATAGGGACAAGCATTTGAGAAGCAGTGTAGCTGTGTCTCTGGTGTTTGGCAGACCCAATCTTGAATCGTGATATTGTTGCCTGTAACATGTTACTCTTGATAGTCACATAAAAATTAAAATTTTCTGAGTTTGTTTAATTATATATAAAAAGAGTTCTTACACAGTTGTGAAGATTAAATGAGTTGACAACCAAAAGGTATGTATCCTGTTGGAGTAGCATAGTAGCCACTCAATAAATAGCAACAGTTATTAAGGCTACCTCAAATCTGCCACCCAACCAGGGACACCAGAGTACACTGCAGCAGTTTACGTAGCTTCCTTGTTTGTTTTAAATCTTGTTTTGAAATTTGATTTTATGTATTTATTATGCCATTTAGTTTTTGATAGAAAACATGTAAGTTTAGATATTTTAACATATATGTTTTCAGGAACATAGTAAAACAGGAAGAGCAAGTAGAAGAGGAGTAAAGATAAAAATGGAAAAATGAAACAAAATAAGAAAACACAATAAGTACACATGTAAAGTGAAGTAGTGGGACCAAGGTTAAATACATCTGTGAGTATAGTACCTTCAAATGGCTTACTTTTGCTAATACAAGACAGGAATATCCAACTGAGATTTTTAAAAAGCCACTTACAGGTTGTACACCTAAGTAAATATTTCACAGGAAGATTATAAAAAGAGAAGTGGCATGACAGTGGGAATGACACAGTGCGGCCTCTACAGATCCTCCGTAACAGCAGTGAGAACAGTAGAAAAACTGTCAGAACTAACTTTTTCTGACTTTTTTAGAAATTAGCCAAAGGTTTGCAGCAAACCAGGAAGTGTTTATTCAAGGGGGTGGAGGGATTCCGTGAGAACAGCGAGCTTCACCGCATCTTTAATTTGCCTAATTCCGATCTCCCCCAGCTCTCTGGTGGCCTTGAAGGCCATCAGTCTGCACTCCCGGTAAGACGACGATGATGGCAACCGCAGCAATGAAACCATGGTCTGGGGCCACCGGTGGTGCAAAATGGTGATGGCACGGCTCACAACTGCATTTTGACAGCATTGTCACCACTTGACCTGTTTGGTGGCTCCCTGGAGGGGCCCACTCACGAGGCTTTTCTTGATTGATCTGACTTGGAGCTGACCAAGTGCAAACCACCTTTTCTTCTGGGGCATTTGTCAGAAATGAACATCAGCAACCGTTTAACAGCACAGCTGCCGAGGTGCTTACATAAGAGTGGAGCAAACAGTAGACTCACCAAAAAGCTTAAAGGAAAAGCTAGGGAATGCGATGCACGTGAAGACTTTGAAAATCTCTGACACATTCCTGGGGCTCTGTCCGACCACATACATGCCTGAGGCTGGGAGCATTCTCATGAAATACCTGAGGAGTCCTAAGGTCTCATCTCTGTCCGACTCTGAGGCTCTGCAAGCAGGAAGTGAAGGCTAAGGCAGAGCCTCAAAAGCCTGATGAGATTGGAGGTGTGACCCCAAATGCACACAGAGCCCCTCTGCGAAGACTGGGCGACTTATTGGTTCCAGGTACTCAAGGATGTTTTTGTTGAATCATTAGGTGACCACTAGGCTAACCAAGAGGAGTGTTAGTTGCCACATATAACAATAAATACAGACTTTATAGACTTAATTTTGAAAAATATCATTAAACAGTAAACCCTGTGGAAGGGGGATAATCTGGTTTCTAGAGTTGCCACATTGTTATTTAATGTCTAGTTTTCAACAACAACTAGAACAACAACAAAATGAGGCACAAGAAGAAACAAAAAATATCTCCAATTCACAGAAAATAAAGCGTAAGCATTGTTCCTGAAGAAGTTCAAGTATTGGATTTATTAGACAAAGACTTTAAGTTTGATTTTTAAATATTTTCAAGGAACCAAAGGAAATGATGAGAATGATGTCTCACCAAATAGACAATATCAGTAAAAAGGTAAATTTTACCAAACAAAGCCAAAACCAAATAGAAATTTTGGAGAATAACTTGAAAAAATTCACTAGAAGTACCCAACATCAGAGCTGAGCATGCAGAAGGAAAGATTTTCAAACTGGAAAATAGGTCCAGTTTAGGAGCAAAAGAAAAATGAAGTAAAATGAACAGAGGTTTGTGGAACACAGTTCAGTGTATCAACATACACATAGTAGAAGTCCAAGGAGGAGAGGGAGGACAGGGAGGAAGAATATTTAAAGAACTAATGTCCCCAGTCTTCCTAAAATTGATGAAAAACAACCTACACATCCAAAAATCTCAATAAACTCCAAGAATATCAATAAATTCACTAAGAATGATAAATTAAAAGATATTCACATTTAGATATGTCATAATTAAACTGCCAAAAGCTACATACACGAAGACAAAATCTTGAAAACAACAAGTGAGAAATGACACACTGCATAAAAAGAATCCTCAAATGAGTTTACAGCATATTTTTCAGCAGAAAACCATAGAGGCCAGAGGATGTGGGATGACACATTCAAAATGCTGAAAGGAAAATTATTGTCCAATAAGAACTTCTCTGTCCAGCAAAGCTACCTTTTGGAACTGAAGGGCAAATTAAGACATTCACAGATAACAAATGAGAGAATTTGATAGCAGACCTTCCCCATGAGAAATATTAAAGGGAGTCCTTCAGATGGAAATTAAAGGATACTAGACAGTGACTCAAATATGCATGAAAGAAAGAGCATTGCAAAGGAAATTACATCAGTTAGTAGAAAAGGTAGTATAACTATGAGATAGGATAAGGCTTTCTGTAACTCTCTCCTTTCTCTGATTTAAAACAGATTTAAGATGAAATGAAGAAAAAACTCCTAAGTGGAAATTAAAATAGTGTGGCATTAAAAAGATTATGATACTTAGGAGTAAATGTAACAAAAGAAATGTAAAACTTACTAACCTTTCTTCAGTTACTTTGTTTGAATGTGGCATGTGAACTTGCTGGGAACTTTGTTAATACCTCATGATACCCATATAGCACCCATAAGAGTGTCTTGAAAATGATAGAAATAGTACTCTTTACATCTTTGCATTGACCTGACTGGGAAAAAAAAAAGATCCACATGTGGAATGAAGTACCTGGTGGGTGAAATGTACCGGAGAACCATCAGGGAAACTGTTTATGCTGTATTGAGTCTGTGGTACCACTCTTCAGAGAACATTCCTTGTTAGTTGGTTTAACTGAAAAACTCAACAGGTCGAGATCTGCACTGACATTTTCTTCTCTTCTTCAACCTCAAGATAATCATGGTGGTTTTAACAACAGTATTACAAGTAGGGACTTTGATATCAGACTGATTTACTTTTGGGTTTTGGCTTTTACATTTATTAACTGGATGACATTGGACGAATTATTTAGCTTCCCTCACGTCTACTTTCTTCACCATTAACAGTGGTCCTCATCTCAATTATAGTAGTCGTGCCTAAAAAGGATATTAGAATTTTAAATGAGTTAATATATCAATCGCTCAGTAGAGTGCCTGACATGAGGAGAAGTTCGATAAATATTTTTAAACATTTATTTATTTCAGGCCTGCTTCTCCCAGACAACTACTGATTCATTTTCTGAAACTACACATAGGGTTTATTTTCTAGAATTTTGTACAAATGAAATCATTATTATGTACTTAAAAAAAAACTGGCTTCTTTAACTTGGCTTAATGTGACATTTTGATATCTTTATCACTAGATATTTACTTTTTATTTCATTATGTGGGTATACCACTACTAATCAATGTGTTAGGTATTACTTAATAAGAATATTAAAACTCTTAGGATTTTCTCTAAAAAAGATGTTTCTTTTTTTCCTTCTTCAAAGAGGGTTAGGGTACCTGGATTCTGAAGAGAAGGGGACACAGACCTGTTGACTGATTGCAGCATAACTATAGGATCAGACTTTCGGAGACAGTTTCCAGAGGGAGACATTCCATAGGACAGTTATTTCTAGTTTTATGTTTTCTCTTTTTTGCATTCTAATAATTTTTTGTTCCAAAATCTTTAGCAAAAGTTGTTAAATGTTACAGCCTGCCAAACATTTAAGGAAGAAATAATGCCAATTCTACACAAAAATTTCCAAAAAATTTGGCTTCATTTTTTAGGCTAGTGTTGCCCTGGTACCAAAGCCATAAAAAAAGGCATTGTAAGAAAAGAAAGCTATCACCCAATGCCTCTTGTGAACAGAGGCAAAAAATCTCAATAGAATTTTAGCAAATAAAATTCAGTAGCAGAGTTGGAGCCAAGATGGAGGCATACATAGAAACACTTTGCTTCCTCACACAACCAAAAGAAAGATAACAACCAATTTAAAAACAAAAACTAACCAGAACTGCCAGAAAAATCAAACTGCGTGGAAGTCTGACAACCAAGGAGTTAAACATTCATCCAGACCAATAGGAGGGGCAGTGAGGATTTGCGGCAAAGTGATGGCTGGTGGACCTGAGCAGGTAGGTCCAGCTGGCAAGATGGGATTTCCCACATTTGCACGCAGATAAGCTGGGAGGAACAACTGGGGAGTGAGACAGCCTGCTGGCAAGATGGGATTTCCCACATTTGCATGCAGATAAGCTGGGAGGAACAACTGGGGAGTGAGACAAACTGAGCAATCTGGGGTTGCAGTGCAAGGGAAACAGAGCCTCAAAAACTCTGGCTATAAAAACCTGAGGGGGAGATGCTGGGAAGATGGGGACGGAGTAGGATGGAGCTGATAGCTCCTGTATTCATGGGTGAAAATCCTGGCAGATCTATAGAGAAACAGCACAATAAACCATCAGTTACCCAGCATTTATGAAATTAAAAGACCAGAGATTGTGACCAACGCTGAAACACCAGACAGCGGCAGAGTCAGCTACTGGAGCTGGGTCTCACGTGGCCCCTGTGCTGCTGCCATAACAACAGGACTGGGAGGCGGGGAGTCAGGTATGAGAGCCGGACACTCCAAGCCCCTGTGACGGTCCTGGGAGACAGAGGAGTCAGCTAACAGAGCTGAGACATTCTCGGCCCCTGTGCTGCTACGATAGCTACGGGCCTGGGCAACAGAAGAGTCAGTTGCAGGAGCTGGGACACTGGAGGCCCCTGTGCCACCGCCATAGAGAAGGGCCTGGGCAACAGAAGAGTCAGTTGCAGGAGCTGGGACACTAGAGGCTCCTGTGCCACTGACATAGAGAGGGGCCTGGGCGCCAAGGAGTCAGCTACCGGAGCCAGATACTCCAAACCTCTGTGACAGCCCTGGGCGCCAGAGGAGTTAGCCACGGGAGCCGAGACATTCTTGGCCCCTGTGCCGCTGCCGTAGTAATGGGCCTGGGTGCGGGAGGAGTCGGCTACTAGAGCCGGGACATTCAGCAGTGGTAGGCAACCAGCGCGAGCACCAGTGAGAGGACCAGCGTGACAGTAGGTCGAGACAGAGAAAATCAAGAAACTTGAAGGAGTCTGCACCACTGAACTTCACAGGTATCATACTACAGAAGTTCATGCTATAAACCCAGGGTGTCAGAACAGATCAATTTTAGAAGCTGAGACTAACGAAAAGAGTCACAAACAATGGGAAGACAAAGAAACAATCCCCAAATGAAAGAAAAACCAGAAACTTCAGAAAGAATGTTAGATGAAATAGAGGCTGATCAACTATCAGATAGTGAATTCAAAGCACTGGTTATTACGAAGTTCAAAGAGCTCACAGTGAACTACCAGAAACTACAGGGGAACTACAATGATCTCTCTGCAAACTACAGCAACATGAAAAAGGAAATGGAAACTATCAGCAAGGGACAAGAGGAAATGAAGAATACAATTTCCGAACTGAAGAACACAGTAGAAAGTTCCAAAAGTAGGATAGATAAAGCAAAGGATAGGATTAGTGAGTTGGAGGACAAGGTAGAAAGCATCTCACACAAGAGCAAGAAAATGAAAAGAGGCTCAGAAGGAATGAAGAGGGATTAAGAGAAATGCAAGACAATATGAAACAGAATATATCTGAATAGTAGGAATACCAGAAGGAGAAGAAGAACAAGGGATAGAAATCGTATTTGAACGAGTAATGAGAGAAAATTTTCCTAATTTGATCAGAGAAAAAGTCACACAAATCCAGGAATCACAGAGAGTCCCAATCAAGAGGAACCCAAGGAGGCCCACTTCAAGACACATCATCATCAAAATGGCAAAATTCCAAGACAAAGAGAGAATCTTAAAGGCAGCAAGGGAGAAAAAAGAAGTAACATACAAGGGAGCCCCAATAAGGTTAGCTACCGACTTCTCAATGGAAACACTTCAAGCAAGAAGAGAATGGCAAGAAATATTCCAAGTAATGAGAACCAGAGGCCTACAACCAAGGCTACTTTACCCAGCAAGGCTCTCAATCAAGATAGATGGCCAAATAAAGAGCTTCCAAGACAAAAGAAGTCTAAAAGAGTATGCCTCCACCAAACCAGCTCTACAAGAAATACTAAAAGGACTGCTTTAAGGGAAGGAAGGATAAGAGGGAGACAGAGAGGAACACAGGTACAAAAATGGCAATGAATAAGTACCTATCAATAATAACCTTAAACGTAAATGGATTAAATGCTCCAATAAAAAGACAGAGAATAGCTCAATGGATAAGAAAGCATGACCCACACATGTGCTGCCTATCAGAGACTCACCTCAGGACAAAAGACCATCACAGACTAAAAGTGAAAGGCTGGAAACAAGTTTTCCAAGCAAACGGACAAGAAAAAAAAGCTGGGGTAGCAATTCTCATATCGGACAAAATAGACTTCAAAAAAAGGGCCATAAAGAGAGACCCAGAAAGTCACTTCATTATACTCAAGGGGTGAATCCACCGAAAAGACATTAACATTGTAAACATATATTCACCAAATATACGGGCACCCAAATATATCAAGAAAATCTTAGAGGACTTCAAGAAAGATATTGACAGCAACACAATCCTAGTAGGGGATTTTAACACCCCACTATCAAAAATGGACAGATCTTCCAAACAAATTATCAGCAAAGATATTGTGGCATTAAACAACACCCTAGATGAAATGGATTTAACTGATATACATAGAGCCCTTCATCCCAAAGAAGCTAAATACATTCTTTTTAAATGCACATGGAAATTTTCAAAGATAGACCACATGATAGGACACAAAACGAGCCTCAAAAAATTCAAGAAAATTGAAATCATACCAAGCATCTTCTCTGGTATGGGTCAAGAATGAAATTAGGGAAGAAATCAAAACGTTTCTGGAAACAAATGAAAATGATCTCACAACAACCCAAAACTTATGGGACACAGCAAAGGCAGTCCTGAGAGGAAAGTTTAAAGCAATACAGGCCTACCTAAAGAAGATAGAAACATTTCAAACAAACAACCTAACCCTACGCTTGCAAGAACTCGAGGAACAACAACAAAGACAGCCCAGAGCAAGCAGAAGGAAGGAAATAACCAAGATTAGAGCAGAATTAAATGACATAGAAACTAAAAGCACAATTCTAAGGATCAGTGAATCCAGAAGTAGGTTCTTTGAGAAGATAAACAAAATAGACAAGCCTTTAAGTAGGCTCATCGAGAAAAGGAGAGGACACAAATAAACCCAATCAGAAATGAAAGAGGAGAGATTACAACTGATACCACAGAAATAGAAGGGATTGTAAGAAATTACTATGAAGAACTGTACACCAAGAAATTTGAAAACCTAGGGGAAATGGACACATTTCTAGAAAAATACAATCTTCCAAAACTCAGTGAAAAAGCATAAAATCTAAATACACCAATAACAGCAAAAGAAATTGAAGCAGTAATCAAAAAACTCCCATCACACAAAAGCCCTGCACCAGATGGTTTAACAGGAGAATTCTACAAAGCATTTAAGGAGGAGCTAATCCCTATTCTTCACAGACTATTGCAAAAAATACAAAATGATGGGAGACTGAAACTCCTTTTATTAACCCAGCATCATCCTAATGCCAAAACCAGATAAAGACACAACAAGGAAAGAAAACTTCAGGCCAATATCGCTGATGAACATAGATGCTAAAATCCTTAACAAAATATTGTCAGATTGCATCCAGCAATCATTAAAGGATCATACACCATGACCAAGTGGGATTCATCGCAGGGATGCAAGGATAGTTCAATATTTGCAAATCAGTAAATGTAATACATCACATAAACAAAAGCAAAGACAAAAATCACATGATTATATCAATAGATGCGGAAAAAGCTTTCAATGAGGTACAACACCCATTTATGATAAAAAACACTCAGCAAAGTGGGAACAGAGAAAGCATTTCTCAATATAATAAATGCCATATATGAGAGACCTACAGCTAACATCATACTCAATTGGCAAAAACTAAAAGCTTTTCTACTAAGATCAGGAACAGACAAGGATGTCCACTTTCACCACTTCTATTCAATATAGTATTGGAAGTGTTAGCCAGAGTGATCAGGCAAGAAAAGGAAATAAAAGGCATCCAAATCAGAAAGGAGGAAACAAAAATGTCATTTTTTTGCAGATGATATGATAGTGTACATAAAAAACCCCATAGACTCTACCCTAAAACTGATAGAATTAGTAAATGAATTTGGCAGAACAGCGTGTTATAAACTCAATATCTGGAAATCAAAGGCATTTTGTATACTAACAATGAATCAGCAGAAGCAG